AGAATCTCCAGTGAGTAGTATTCAATCTGACTAGGCGGAGCTGATGCAATGAAATACAGACGGGTCTCTTGTGATACAATAGTGAATAATTGTTATCAGGATTGATTGTGAGGGTTGGAAATGTAGAAGTAGACGTTATATAGCAAAGAGGGGAGTGATTAACTTTTCAGTCTAGGAGTGGAGGTCCCTAGGACCATCAAGGGAGAAGAGCAGAGAGCGGACCCTACCCAGAGAAGCAGTGATGCCTGAAATGGAGCCAGAGATGATGACGTGGAGGGTTGGAGCAGCTGGAGACTTTAGATCCAGAGAGGGAGAGCGACCATGTTCTGAAGACCTGGGGGGTACCGGAGAAGATAAGAATGAATGTAAAATTAATGTTCTTCCTTGTAAACTATCACATAATTCACAATAAAACATTTAAGGAAAAAAAAATATATATATATATCAAAATGTGAAAAAAAAAAGTTACATTTTTGGGGCTTTAAAGAAATGTTTGGTTTACTACTTGATGTGTACAGTTTGGGAAAATGTAATGTGTAGGCTTTGCTTTAAAAGACATCAGAGGGGCAAATACCCGGGGTTGTAGTGTTGGTTGAGGGAGGATAAATGAAACAAACTTAACACATTGATGATATTTGTTGAAGATGGTTGTCCGGCACATGGGTATTCTTTATATGCAGGAATTCAAAAACTTTGTAGAAAAAAATCCATGTTTTTAAATTCAATTATTTAATTATTTTTGAAGCACCCTCATACTATATATTTTCTACCTTTGTGCGTTAATGATAATTTCTGTAATAAAGTGTTTTTAAAATTTAATGTTTAAGTTACTCAAGAATATCAGTATCGAATGAAGTGTACCCCCTGCATTAAAAGCAAGTAGTAACAATTTTGTTAAATGCATTTCTTGCTTAAGTTTCTAAAAAGTAAGAAGGAGAGAATGGGAAAATATTAAAAAAAAAAAAAAAAAAAAAAGCAGCTATCCATTTTGCTTTTCTGGTTATAAAGCTGCTACTTAGTTATTCCCATTATTTATGATATGAATGTCTTTGTTATTGAGATTAATAGGCTTTCCCCTTCTTTTCACAATGTCTCAAATGGAGTTGTTTAATGGAGTATTTGTATTAGTTGGGAGTTATAATACAGAACACAGATGACTAATTAGGTTATCCAAACAATAGAATACCTTTGATCGTGGCTTTTATTGAGGAGCATGCATGTGGTTGCTGGAAAGGTCATGTATCCAAATGATAAGTATAATCTTGGTGCAGGAAAAATGACATCAATTGAGGTTGAAGGCATCTGTATTCTAGTTCAGGCTCTGTTACCTGTACTTTAATCATCTTGGTCAAGCATCTTAGCCTTTGTGGTCCTTGATATTTTACTTTATAAAATCACAAGATTGGATTGCGAGATCTTGAGCGTTCTTTTAGCTAACAGAAATCTACACTTCTCAGGCCCACCTTATATATACACACAAAACTTTTTGCCTTTAAGGTCTTCAAAGGACGATGACAGTTGCTTCATTTTTTCCTCCCCTTAGTAAACATCACAGAATGTTTGTATACGTTTTATATATATATAAAACTTCACTGGAAATACTTTTACTGCATCTCTGTCCTAGGCATTTGTATTTAAATTTTTCTGTCTTTAGTTTTAGATATCCCAGTGCTGTATCTATTTTGTTTTACGGTTCCTGAATTTTTTCTTGTTTTCCTTGACCATTCTGTGGTCTATTTGCATGTACCTTAATGTCATTATCCTGGTGGTTTCAGTGGTTCTTCATTCTCAAAAGCATTTTCTAGCTCTTCCTCATGGTTATTTATTTGATCTGCTTTGTCTTGTTTCTATGTGTCAGCAGAAATTTTCAGCTTCTTTTTAGGAATTGTGGTGGTGTTTTATTTGCATGAAATTGATGAATGTATGTTGGTATATTCTTCGGTATTCACCATTTGCCTTCTGGTGGGTGTGATCAGGAGATAAGTTTGTTCACTCTTTTTACAGTTCAATTCAGAGTAGATTTGGTAGATGTTCATTGTAGTCACTGCTCTGGTGTATAGCAGTTAATACTGGCTCCTGCCCCATTGGTAGGGTTTTAGAAGTTGTGGTTTGGCTGTATGGCATCAGTTATTGTCTCCTGTTGGTTGAAGCAAGAAGAGAAAATGCTCCCACAAATAGAAGGAGGACTAAGAAACAAAAATCAGGAAAATCCAGAAAAAAATGGAAATAAGAAAAATTAAAATTAAAAACAACCAGGAAACTGCTTCCGGAAAATAAGAGTAATTCTTTAGTGCCACCTGATGAATTCTAACCTTCATAGTTGTCTGAGAAAATTCAAGATGGCCCCACTGCACCTCTCTGACCTATTACTAGCTTTTTTCTTTCCCCTTTTTCTCTTCCTTTCAAGTCCATTTAGCGCTTCTCCTAATAAGAGCCCAGGACTTGCCAAGACCGATTTGGAAGAGACTGCTGGCATGGGCTGTTTCTGTTTCCTCTTCCTACTTTGATTGTGCACTCTGCTCTAGGATCTGTGCAGGATCATCCCTGGGGGATGTCTACACATACAAGTCTCACCTATCTTCACCAGAGAGGCAATGAGTAGAAAGAGAAAAAGAAGAAAAAAATCCAAAAAAAACCACACCCTTGTCTCTGCAAGTTGCAGACAGGTTGTGCCAACAGGAATGCTCTCTTGACTCACACTCCACTCCTTGCTGTTCAAAATGGCTGCAGGTACCATTGACCGCCCCAAATAAGAAGTTACATCCTTTCTTACTTCCATTCAAATTCCTTCTCCCAGTAAATGCTCTATCCGCTTATTATCCCTTTATCTGAAGTTCAGAGTTCTGGGATCATCTTCTGAATCTGCTTTGTCCACTTTTCCTCGTCTTTGCTGAAGAGGGTCTGCATAACCTTTCTGCCGAGTCCGCTGTCCAGTCCGAGGTTTTTCAGGTAGTTTTAGGATACACCAGGATAGTTTTATTATCTCTGCTTAAGCAATTTTAGTACTCAGTAAGGAGACTGAGAATGCTTATCTTTTAATAAATATATTTATTGTGCAACAAGTGTTCTTCACCTTTTGAAATTCTTCTGTTTGTTCTTGATGGTTAATTTGTTCACGTCATTTTAGACCTGAGGACTTAAAAGCAAATGTCTGCAGAATATAGGCAGATAATACAAATTATTAGTCATGATTAATAATTGAGCAAGGTATAATAATTCCAATTTTTCAATCTAGTCATGATTAATTCTCAGTTCTGCAGCTAATATTGGTCTTAATGTTGCAATAATAGAGAATAGAGAAGGGGCTGTGACTAATTGCAAAGTGTCTTCTGTAAGATTGTGTTTGCTACTCAATTCCATATGATGATTGCCTCTGGATCCCGTTTGTTAAATTCTCTAAATATTTAAGAGAAATGTGGTTATGGGTTTCCATTTTCTGGTCTCTGTTTTACTCTTGTGGGCAAAGAGTACTGAAACACTTGAATGGAAATAGTCCAGTTACTACTGTTTGTTCAGTTCTTCTGTTTCTCTAGTAGCTGGTAGGCAGGTGAACATCCTTATGGTCCTATGGTTTCTCTTAAGTGGTAAGTGAGAAAACAATTTATTGTTGTAGGAAAGGACTAAGAAAAATAATTTGGATAAGTTGTTGTTGTTGTAATGTGCCGTGGAGTCGGTTCCAATTCATAGCGACCCTCTACAGGGTTTCCGAGGCTGTAAATCTTTACGGGAGCAGAAAGCCTCATCTTTCTCTCGCGGAACAGCTGGTAGTTTCGAGCTGCTGACCCTGAGGTTTGCAGCCCAATTCATAACTACTACGCTACCAGAGTTCCTTTGGATAAGTAGGATTAGACAAGTCTTCCTCTCTGTATCTTTAGGTTGGCCACATAAAACCAGTGTGTTACAGAATTTTTGTATTTAGTGACAGAAGTTGGATTCCTTAAACTGAATTGTTTAGCAGAAAATCTAGAATATCTTAAACATTCATGTTGTGGAGTGCCATCCTGTCGGTTCTGACTCATAGTGACCCTACTATATAGAGTTTCTGAGGCTATAAATCTTTGCAGGAGCAGAAATCATCATCTTTCTCCCACTAAACATTCATAGTATACATTAAGCAAAAGGGACACTGTATTTCTCATAACTTTCCATCAGTTCCCAGTACTCTTTAGCCCTCTCTCCATCTCTGTGTCTCTCCTCCTTTCCTTCTCATCCACATCATGAGTTTTTAGACTGTCCATGATGCATAGCATGGAGGCCTGGTGCAGTGCTATGGTCTAATGTGTCCAACTGCAAAGTCATTTGAACTGCAAGGTTGGTGGTTCAAGCTCACCAGCTGCTCCTTGGAAACCTTGTATAGGGTCGCTATGGGTCGGAATTGCCTCAATGGCAATTAACAACAACAACAACAACATTACGCATAGCATATCCCAGACATTGTGTAAATATAAAGACTTTTAAAGACTTGGACCCAGAGTTTAAGGAATTCACACTCTAGTCAAGACCAACCTATAAAACGAATATTGAAAATTCACAATAATTGACTTACATTATCAAATATTTTTATGATGTGCTTGTATATGGGTATTGTATTATTATGTAGTTTATAACACTGTACAATAGATAAAATGCCTTAAGGACAGTAGTTAGCTTTCTAAATGGTAGAACACATTTATAGTGTTTTGAATAAGTTGGAACCCTTCATTATTAAAAATCATGCATAGCATACCGTAAAAGAGTTTCACTAAATTCTGGAAGTTATTTCTATAGACTGCAAGTTCCTTGCTCTGACTATATTGTAATATGATTACTGTATAGGATGGAGTTTTTAAGATGAGCCTTTCTCCAGATGGGACACTCCTTGCAGCTATTCACTTCTCTGGGAAATTAAGCATCTGGGCTATTCCATCACTGAAGCAACAAGGAGAATGGAATCAAAATGAGCAGGTAGGCATTTTGGTTATGACTTCTTTTAGCATGATGCTCTCTGAAGAGTGACTGTTGACAATTCTAATGTTGTTGATAATTTACTGTAATGCACATCTATTATTCTCATCATTCCAAAGCTGTTTTTTTCTTTGGTTAAATTATGACATTATCAATACAGTGGGACACATAAAGAATACCCTAGAACTGTGAATTTTATTTTAATTTGGTGTATAGTACACTGTATACGGAGTAATCTGCCCATGCAATTCTCTATTTGTGCTTGTTTGGTCATTCTATGATGTCATAATGGAGATGCTGATGTTTTGAGTGAAAGTCAGCTAATATGATGAAGGGTTCAGAGGTTCTAAAGAAGTTATCATTCTTCTTAAATATTGCAATGTGATTAGTGTGGTGCTTACTTAAGTCTTGAAGAAAGTTGCATTTTCTTTACTCCAAGGTGGTTTTCTAAGATAAAAAGATGAAGTTGTTAATTTTTTATTGTGTTGTAATGAGAGGGTTCTTTGAAAATATTTTTTTGTGGTTAGGGTGAATATTTACAAAGCAACTTAATTTTCCATTCAATAATTTATACACTTTTTGTGGCATTGGTTACAATCCCCTCAACATAACAGCACTCCTCCCCACTCCCCTTGCTTCCTGGCTTCCCACTTTTCACTGGCTCCTCTTTCCTGCCCCTTTCTGCCTTCTGAGCCTTGTTTTCGGAAGAATGCTGCCCTTTTGGTCTTGTGTGATTGATTGTAATGAGGAGTATCCTTCTCCTTGTTGTTGGTACTCACTTTTATGTCTGAATGTTGTTTAGCTGAACATTGATCCCCAGGGCGCACTCAGTTCCAGGTTTGAGGCTGACAGTCTCAGGGTTCTTCTGTCTTAGTCTCTGTCAGACTGAAGTGTGGCCTTTTTGGTGAGTTTGAATTTTGTTCTACCTTTTTTTTCTTCCCTCTTGTCTGGGACTTTCTGTTGTGATCCTGATCTGAGTGGGGAATGACAGGTTTTAAGGATTAAATGACTTAGATGTTTAAAACAGGGAGAATCAATATTTACTATAATTGAAAATCACAATGGGAAATAAGGTAGGCTCATTTGATGCCATGACAGAGTGATAGTTTAAAATGAAACTTTTCCTTAAGTGAGTGTAGTTTATGGTATTAATCTTTTACTTTATAATGATTATTTTGTGTTTTAGCGCCATGTCTCTTATCCCATCCCCTCTTATTTGTATGCATGGCCTGTCACCAGATTGGATAGTTTTGTGTTTTGTGATAAATGGAAGCATTTTTCTTGAATGACCCTAATGAAGTAATGACTTATTTTTCAGAATCCTTTTTTGTTTCATTGCAGTCAAGCGGCACTATCAAAATAATTCTTAGTAAGTCAGCAAAAAATTTTTTCCAGAGCAGTAAAGGAAAAAAGAAGTGTCTTTATATTTTCTTACTCTCTTCATAGGTTTAAACTTACTTGTTTTAGCTATTCTTTATTGTTTGATTTATCTGCAGGCTTAGGAAGCGCCCATCAGCCTTCCAATTCCTATTCACTTTCAATTTAATATGTTCTCCAAATCTCTGCTACTCTCTGAGAGTACTGGATCTTGTTAGATTTGTTCTAACTGGAATGATAGCTAAGTTGGCTATCTCTTCTCTCTAGGAGTGGATCAACTTTCAAAAACTTTGTCTAGCATACTTAGTAAAATATGTCAGCAAGCAGAACTTGCAGTATACGGTAGAGAACTGACTGATGGGCAGAGTGTAGACTAATTTATATACCATATCTTTCATGATACACAGTGAGGCATACTACATGAATTCTATGTTATGTATTCATATTCAAAATAAAAACACTAGGCCCTGAAGGTACCGCTCTGTTTTCATGGTTGTCACTATGTAGTGATAAAGTGTTTCACTTCTAATTTGCGGGAACCCTGGTTGCTCCTGGGTTATACTTTGGGCTGCTAACTTAAGATCTGCAGTTCTCATCTACCAGCTGCTGTGAGGGAGAAAGAGGAGCCTCAGAAACACTACAGAGGGTCGTTATGGCTTGAAAACGACTTGATGGTGGTGGGTTTCATTTTGGTTTTTCTGATTTGGAAAGATATCTCTGTATCTCTCAAATATGTGGGAAGTTTCACTTTGTGGAAAAATGTTTTTTAAATGGAGAAAAGTTTAACTGTGAAGGTATTGTCATCCCTGGCTTTCTGTTTTCCTATTTTCATTCTCCTAATAAAAACTACCAGCTGTTCCGTGGGAGAAAGATAAGGCGTTCTGCTCCCATAAAGATTTACAGCCTCGCAAACCCTGTACAGGGTCGCTGTGACTCGGAACCAACTCCACGGCACATAACCAAAACAACAATAGAAATATGAGTTGGAACCGACTCGATGGCATTTAACAACAACAACAATAGAAATATTGATCAATTTCTAAAGCACACTAATACTTCATTTTGTCAGCTTCCTAGAAGGTCATACACTCGATATAAGGGCTATTCACAGCAACAATGATTAGTATGCTCTTTTGTTTGCTCAAATACTGGATACCCTTTTTTACCTGCAAAGATAAATTGCATCTGTTGTACTTTTTATTGGCATATGCTCAACTTTTCTGTTAGGTACCTTTATATTTTTATGATAGTTGTTGTTAAGTGCCGTTGAGTCGGTTCTGACCCACAGTGACCCTGGATAGGGTGTCTGAGGCGCTACTGGTGAGCTTGACCTGTCGACCTTACAGTTCAAACAGCTTTGCAGTCTGGCGCATTAACCCACAGTGCCACAACAGTTGCTTGTAATTGTCATTATAATTTATTAATCTCTGTTTATTAATGTTATTCATTAAATAGAATTTTCAGAGTGGTTCTACCAAAAAAAACTCCAAAAGTTTAAAATTGTTTAAAAAAAAAAAACCCAAAACACTGACACAAATAAAACAAGTCTCTGCACCTGGAAATGATTAAGTGTAAATATGTCAGTAATTTAAAAATGCAGCCAGAAAAGTAATGGGATAGGAAGAGAATCAGGATTGAAAAAAGAGGAGGGTGGTGGGAAGTTCAGCCTGTTCGGATCAGAGTCTTTTGAATAAAGATACCCCAGAACTTGCTCTAGCCTGATTCTTTCTTACATAGTCCTCAGTACAACTGCTTTTAAGTTTATCTCTCAATCAGAAGAAGAATGTTACCAACTTATTTAGCAGATTTGTTGTTGTTGTTGTTATGTTATGTTGTTAGTCAGAACCATGGAGTTGGTTCTGACTCATAGCAACCCTGTACAGAGTTTCCGAGGCTGTAAATCTTTATGGGAGCAGAAAGCCTCATCTTTGTCCTGTGGGACAGCTGGTAGTTTTGAACTACTGACCCTGAGTTTTTCAGCCCGATTCGTAAGCACTACACTACCAGAGCTCCTATTTAGAGGATTCCATGTCCATTATTTCCAATTTGGTCGGTATAAAGTATTTCCCATGAAAGCCTGCATAGACTGGGGGAAAAAAAAGTTTTGGAGCTTGCAAAAACCAGGCCATGGACCTGGTTGATGCTATTTTGAAGAAAGCAATGACTTACCAATTGTGAACCTAATCCTGCTGTTCTGCACACTGCCTCATCATCTCACAGGCCAGGGAATAAAAGTCCTCCCGTTTCACTGCTTCTCAGCACATAGACAGACTGCCGGAGAATAGAGCAAATGCTGTCCTCTGAGATCCCAAACTGTTTTAGCCATAAAACAAATTTTGGTCTCAAGATGGGAAACAGAGAGGATTTAATTTTATTCATTCTTTTCTTTAAAATATAAGCTTATGGTAAAAATGTAAACTCCTTTTGTTTGTCATTTTTCTAGTTTCATGATTATACTGCTTTATACTAGGTTTTTGGACCCGTCTCTACCTGCTTCCTACTTTTGTGTAACCCTTCCTATTTTTCTTTCAGAAACTTCATTTCATTGTAAGCAAACTCTTATGAAACCTTAACTTTTCCACAAAACAGGTGGTTTTTTTGTTTTTTTTTTTTTTCGGTGTGTGTGTGTGTGAGGGTTTGTTAAATAAACATACCACAGGTTTATATAGCTCAGTAGAATTAAGGTGCATCTGTAAAACGTACAATATTTTTGTCACTTCTAACAAAATTTTCTCTAATAATAAAACCATTGATTACCTATTGAATACTTACTTTGTCTTAGCGTTATACAACAAGTAAGTAGAAGAGCTCTGAGATATGATTCTGTCTCTCTCCAATTATAATGTTTATTTTCTTTCCATGAATATATAGGAAAATAAATATATTTTAAAAGGTAAAAAAAAACAAAAACAACAAACATTTATTAAGCTAGTGAATGCTAACATGTGTTTCATATACTTTTTTCTATAATACTTCGCATGTCACTAGTTTAATAACATACTGATACCTGAAAGGCAAATATATATGTAAGTAGGGAGGTTAGAATCATTATTATTAATTTTTTACATAAATTATTTTTATTTAATCAACTCTAAAACCACAGTATCGAACTCTTTTTCTCTGTGAATGCAACACAGATTTCTTCAGCCTTCCCAGATGTGTTTTTTTCTTTAGCTAGTTACTGTCCAGGTACCAGAATAAATAATTGAGACAGCCTGTCATTGGTAAATCCTTAACTTTATGATAGTTATGTAGTGTACTTGAGATGTAGTGGGACGTGATGGTGAAGGTGGTGTAATTCTTTTTCCAGCAACTAGAATTTTAACAATCATACTTTGCCAGAATCTTTGTGGAGATTTTGTTGTTGTTCTTATTAGTTGCCAATGAATTGACCATTGACTCTTGTTGACTTCCATGCAACAGGAAACAAAATCCTATTTGGTTGCAGATTATACTGTTGTGCTCTATAGGGTCTTCATTAGCTGGTTTTTGGAAGGTCTCTATTTCTGGTTCATTTTAGTCTGGAAATTGTGCTGTGATCTGTTCAGCATCATAACCACATGCAAACATCCACTGATTAGACATATGAGGTGTATTGGCCAGGAATCAAACCTGGGTCTACT